CAGCTGGAGATGTTTCCGAGACGGCTGCGCTCGGGCCCTCGCCGCGTGTGCCACCCTGGCCCGGAGCCCTCGGTGCGCCGGGAGCAGGGAGCGCGCCCTCCGGGGACGTGGGAGTCCCTCGGCCCTGCCGGCGCTCAGCAGGAGATCCTTGGAAAAGTTCGCAGCGATTCTGAAGGAGAGGCCATTGGCGTTTAAGTTTCAGGGAAGTACTGATTTTCAGAAGCCTCCAAGTGAATAAGCAGCACTTTCACACGTCTGGAGATGCACGGACGCCGGGGGGCGAGCCTGCTGGGTTTCGACAGCAAGCCGCTGTGCTGTGCGACGCGTCGTTCTGGATCCTTCGCCCGACCTCAGAGAACGCATCAGCGATGGATGCGCCAAGGACGGAAACTCTGTGTTAACCTTTTAGTATAATTTAAAATGAATTCTATTGAAAAAAGAATGAATGTGTCAATGTGGGTTCATCGTTGTACACTGACTTACGTTGTCATTTCTCTGTCGTTAGTAATGCTTTGCACTGGGTGGGCTGTTCTGTGGCAGTGACATTGGAGCGTAAAGACTGTTTGCCTGGTCCCGGCGGCGTTCCGGTGGTTTCTCCCCCCTGATGAGTTCCGCGCCCCAAATAAATGCTGGTTTATAGGAACCATTGTGTTTCCCCAGCAAAGTCCTGCGTGTCATCAGACTGAAAATAATAACAGTAATTTTAAAAGTCCACTAATTTGTCCTGTTCTTAGTGCAATTTTACTGTACATTTCTAAGTTCACTACTAACAATACACAAAACTCGACATTGTAATTACCCGCATCCTGTCCTTGATATTTTTAGTGGTTCCAAGTCTTTGTCTTGACAGTTGTGTGCTGTGTTCATAGGGAGAGAGAGTGCTTTTTAAATGACACTCTATTTTGAGAGTTGGGAAAATAATTGCTATACAAGAGGAGTTTACTTCGGAAGAGAAATTTGGAGGGTCGCTGGCCGTCTCCACTCCTGGTTGGAGTTTAAATTCACACACACGTTCTACTTGCCTGCTGCTTCCAGTGTAGGAGGAGGGGAGTGCTAACGTGCATCCTCGAATTTTAAAGGGAAAAATAGTCATTAAGTTCTGTTTTTTTTTAAAAAAAAAACCTACTGAGACAGAAAAGCAGTTGCTCACAAAGAGCGAGCATCTTCACAGGCATGGCTGCTCACGCCGGCCGCAAACGCGCACGCTCGGCGCGGGGAGCGCAGAGATCCCGGGGCCTCGTGTGCCCGCTGGACAGTGTGCAGAGGGCAGGCGGACCCCTCCGGGGCCTGGGCCTTGCGTCTCGCACCCCGCACCTAGCGCACTACCTCCCCCGTCTTCACCGAGTCTCATCTCTTTGCAAAATAACAATTTTTGCTCCGGAGCGGAAGGTAAGGTTGGTCTCTCTTTTAGAGATTTAGAAATTGCTCCTGAGATCTATGAATTGGAAGATAGCCCGAGAACCCTTCTGCCTCAGACTTATTCCAGGTAAACTCTTACATGCCCCCGACTCACGCTTGACTTACAGCGACGTGGCCGAGAAGGGCGCTGCGCAGGTGGAATTTCCTGACGGTCCTCTGTGATCCGGGTCCGGTGTGGCAGCCCTGCGGAGGCCGGCCTCCTGCCTGAACCTGCGCCCACGCCCTCCTCGTGGGGTAAGTGTTCCTGCTGCCAGACGGAAGACGCCCTGGGACCCTCTGTGCCGGCACCCGGTGCCAGCACGGTCAGAGTTGGCATTGTAGAGGTCTTGGTTTCCGTGGCTGCTTGAGAAGGTTTGAGGAGCTTTTTATGTCATTCCCGGATGATTGACCCTCCCTGTGTTTGAACCAGTAAAAAAGACAAAATATCAGAAAAGACAAGTTTTCTGATTATTGTGTGTGTATATATATATATATATGGTTGGGGTATTTTCACATTGTCAAAGAAGATCATTGAATTGATATTATTTTTATAAAGTTATGTTATAATACGTCTTGATTTCATAAATCAAAGGAATCGATAAAGCGAAGTCTAAAAATAACAGTTAACTTTAAGCTGCTATACAGTATAGACGGAGTAAATTGAAAACTTGTATGAATCCACGGTTATTTTTTTTTTTTAACCTAAAACATCCTCTTTGGTGCGTGTATCCCTTCCTGTCACTGGGGCTCATGATTTTTTTTCCTTCTGTATCGTGTTTAAGGATGACTTTTCAGCAAAACTTCTAGAAATTAGCTGTTATTTCACTGCGGTCGGCTCCGGGCAGGAGCAGCAGCGCGAGGGAGCCCTTGGCCTGGTGCGTTCCGTCACCGGGGCCACTCCCGAGAGCCCCAGAAACCCAGCCGCTCCTGGGTGCCTGGAAGGAGGGGACTAGCACTGGGGACCGCACTCCCAGCCAGGTCACTGTGGCCCTCAATATTCTCATTCCTAAGTTAAAGGAGTTGAGTGAGATGACCTTGAAGGACCGTCCTAGCCAAACACTCCCCAGGTTTCTCAGGGTAGACGTGAGGGGCTTAGGGTGGACGTACTTGGAGAGCAAAAAGGAAAGGCTCCCCCCCATGTGCCTGGTTCCCCCACGCTGCCTCACGGGTAACGGGATTACTCCCCCTTTTTACCGTGTGCCCCTCCTTGCTGGAGCCCCCTCTGGGTTACCGGGGTAGGAGCCACGTGTTGAACGGAAGGAGAGAAAACTTAAAACTGCACAACTGGCTTTTCTTGGAGACTTTTACCCGTCTGGATACTGGCAATCAAAAAAAAAAAAAAATGTTTTCAGTCCAAATTTGTCATGCTGATTGTGTCCAGGGATCAGGTCCACCTGGTAAAGGCCCGAGCCTTCCCTTCGAGCCCCCACACACGGGGAATTTATACAGCGGCTCCTATTAACGGACCTGTAGCAGGTGAAACAGGAGACGGGCCGGTAGTCACAGCAAGGAGACATTTGGCTAACTTACGGATATCCCCAGACAACTGTTTTTCACATTTTTTCTTTCACTTTGGTATCTGGGTTCAATGCCCTGTTCTTCAGTTGCCCTTCTGGGTCACAGCGCTGATTTGGTGGCCTGTACATCACATCTGCCTGGAGTCAGCTTGTCTGGGAGCTGAGCCGGGCTCCCAGCTCACTCCCGGGGTGGGCTTGGGCAAGTTACTGAACCTCTCTGTGCCTGATAAGCGAAGAAATGAAGTACACCCCGATGTTGCCGGCTGAAATGATTCTTACGACAAACAGTGCCTCACGTTCAAATGGCTGTGGGCGTTAGAGCCGGAAAGACCTGGATTCGAGTCCTGACTTACCCCTCCCTAGCTGTGTGGACCTGCACAATATGCTTAACCTATTGAGGTCGCTACTTTTCTCCTTCTAGGCCGTGGAGGAAGCAGTTTTTACTACATCTTGTTTGGTGCAGCGTTCAAGACTGTGCCCTCTGGGGCCAGCACTGCCTGGGTTCGAATTCTGACTCTCCACTGCATTGGGCAAGTTGGTTATCCTTTCCATGCCTCAGTTTACCCATCTGTCGAATGGGCATGGGGAAAGCCTACCTCATAGGGTTGTCGGGAATAGTAAATGAGTCCCTGAAAGTGCTCAGGTTGGCGCCTGGTGCCTGCCGATTAGGCACATGTGTCTGCACGGATTGTTACTTTGCTTTATTTCCTTCCAGAATCCAGTTGGAATGGAGACCCCGGCTCCCCTCGCCCAATTCCTGTGGCCGCCAGTTGGGGCAGAGGCAAGAAGTGTGGGGTGTGTGGCCTGGCTGGGACAGGGATGACGGGGGAGAATGTACTTGCATTGGAAGCTGTCCCCTCCCCTGCTCTGCCACCAAATATGTCCATGCTCTCCGAGGCCCGGTCAGCGGCCACCCGGGGCTGCCGTCCCCTGGCCAGACCTGGAGCTCACTGGCTAATTTTAGAAATGACTTGTC